CCTGTGGGCTTCTGCTGCCACCTAGTGTCTAATCTCCATGCCTGCTTCAGCGGTTGTAGTCCAAAACAAGGCTACCCTGTCCTTAAAAATGGTGTTGGGGTTACCACAGGCTGGGCAGGTAGTTGTAAGCTCCCCTACAGAGCAAGTTTGAAGGAGGGAAAGAAGAGCCTGCATCATCCCTTTCTGTAGGCAGAAGGTTGTTTAGCTAGATTATAGGATGCAAAGGTGAGAATCTGGAGGGAAAGTTGTGGGTCCTAGGGGTTTGGAGCCCATGTGGAATAGAGACCAGACAGGCTTGGTTCTGGTTCTTTTACTTGTGTGTCCTTAACCTGAGTCACAGGTTCCACATGTGTAAAATAGAGGAGTATCCATTCCCTGTGTTACAGGCAGAGCTTTACTGAGCACATGGATGTGAAAGCACTTTGAAAATTGGTAAGGGCATGCTGAGGGATTATTAAGTCATGCTAATAATAATGACAATAAACTGAGAGGTCACAGAAGTCTTGAGCTAGGCCCCTGGGGCTCAGGGGAAGGGCAGAGTAAAGTGGGCCTTGGGTAGGGACAGGAGCTGCCTTCCCTGACTACAGAGGTCCTAGGGCTGGTCCCCCTCCTGGAGCTTCCTCAGGGAAGATGTGGTTTGCTAGAGAGTAGTTCAGCCTAGTCCACAGAAGGGGAAACTGAGGCCGAAGAGGTTGAGGGCCTGTCCTAAGTCATTGAGTTACAGATCCCAATCAAAAGGCGCATTGGACTGGAGCCATTACGGCCTTGGTTTTCCCCTCTTCTGGTTGGGAACAGCTTGGAGCTGGGACCCAAGAGACCATGGAAGCAGAAAGCCCCCCCACATTGTGGTACAGTGGGAACTAAGGCCCTCAGGCCCCCATTATTCCTCCTCCTGTCTGGCCTCTCTCCCTGCCTGCAAGTCCTCCCACATTCCTCCAGGCAACAGGAAACCCCAGCTGCAGCCCAGACTTCAAACAGCTCCTCCCTCTGGGCAGGGGGTGTGGGAGGAGAGGCCAGAGGCCAGAGGGCAAAGGTCAGCTTTGTTCCTACCGGAGGTGGTGAGGGACCCCGGGGAGACAGAGGGGGGGCAGGGTAGGGCCCTTGACAGCCACCCTGTGTGTGTGGTGTGTGTGAATTCCTGTGTCTATCAGGGTGTGCATGGTTCTCATTGTTGGTCTGGGGGTAAATGTGTGTCCTCAGTTTCCCTTTGGCTCGGGGACCTGAGTTGTGCATCTCCAGCATATATCAGTACATGTTTGCTTGTCTGTGGGTGCTCAGCCTGGGCCCCCAGTCACCACGTACTGATACGTTTGGTTCACAGGCCAGCTCAAAGCTGTGTATCTCCTGTGAGTGTAACCTGGTATGGTTTTTTGTGTCCAAGAGCAACGTCTCTCTTCCATCTCCTCCCCTCCCATCCTGTTCACCAGAGGGTTCATTCTAAAAAGTGAATCTGACTTTTGATACTTCCTGCTCAAAATCCTTTAGTGGTTTCCCATTGCCCAAAGGTTAGAATCCTAGTCTGAGTGCATAGCAGACAAGACCCATGCCTTCTTGGCCATCTTCATCTTTAGCCACTAACCCCTCTCAAATTTTACACTCCAGTCACACCTGTCTAATTGTAACTCCCTAAACGGTCCCATTTCCTGCCTCTGAGCTCACTTAATTCTGTTGAGTCTGGAATGCCCTCTCTTGCTTCTTTACCAAGCAAACTTTTGCTTATTTTGTAAATCTCTAGTGAAGCAACACATCCACTGAGAAGCCTTCCAGACTTCCTCCTGCCCGATTGAGTTCAGACCCTCCCTGCTCTTCTGTACACCTTGTATTGTCATTTTCTGTGTGTGTGTGTGTGTGTGATGAATGGGGGGGTCTGAAGTGGACAGCTCAGTCCTGGAACAGTATGATCCAGGACAGCTTCACCTCCAACAGGCCTATGACCCCCAGATTTCTTCTGACTTCTTCACAACTCAGGGGCCATACCCCTTGGTTTCTGACCCTCCTTCCCCTTGACTTGACTTTCCAACCTTCTTCTTCCATGCCTCATCTGCACCCTCAACCCTCCCACACGTAATTATATGCACTTGACTGACTTGGCCTTGATCTACCTCTGGGCCTTTGCACATGCTATTCCCTCACTGGGAGATGATCTCACCCTCTGGCTGCTTCATCAGGCAGACTTTTCTTTCACATCCTCCAAGAAGTCTCCCTTGGCTTCCAGACTGACCTTACCCCTAAGTGTTGTAATTGTTTACTGTTCTGCCTCCTGCACAGGACCAGCCCATAGGAGACATCAGTAAATGTGTGCAAAATTAATAAATGACTTGGTTCTTTTACAAATACAATCTTCAGTATATATGGGGCTACCCCAGACCCTTATCTGCACCATGCCCTCCCTGAGCCTGATTCAGGATTAGCATTATACTTTCCCATTGCTGCTCCATCAAATAAAGGACTGTGATACAGAGGGATGCATGAGACTGAAGTCACACAAACCTGGGTTCAGATCCTGACTCTACCATCCAGCTGTATGACTTTGGGCAAGTGTTGTAGCCTCTCAGTCTTTGCTTCCTCTTTTGTAAACTGGGAAAAAAATCACACCACTTCTGCACTGCCTTGTGGTGAAGATCAAATTAGATGATGCATGTGAAATACTCAGCATTAGTCAATTAGGTGTCCTCCTCCCCCACCATGAACTTGGAAATCAAATTGCCCTCTAAGTCTTAAGCCAGTAAAATCCACGCATCACAGAGGAGAAGAGCCAGTGGGGGAGTGAATGAGGTGAGAGATGGTTTTGTAAACGACTGAAGAGTTTTGTGAACGGTGGAAACCACAATCAAGGTGACCGGCCTGTAATCTCAGGGAGGTAAGGCTAGAATGTGATTGAAATTGAGAAAACAGAGGCCTAATCAATTGCATTGTGCTCTATCTGGAGGAAACAGAAGGTTGCACAGAAAAGGGGATATAGGAGAGAATTCATTCATCTGCACCAGAGGGAGGCACAGGGAACCAGTCCAAGCTCAGGCAGGTCTGGTCTCTGCTGAGCAGTGAGGGCCTGGTGAATTCCACGTGGTTCACTGCCCTGCTGGGCCTTCATTTAAACTAAATGGGCATCCAGTTACTGGGCAGAGCCCTGTCAGGCAGACAAGAACATGTTAATCCCAGGAAAAGACTGTAGAGACTAAGAGCAGTAATTTTGTAGTATGAGAACCTGGTTCAAGCCCCTGCTCTGCCACTAATGTCCTATAACCTATTTATTTCACTGTGCCTCAGTTTCTTTATTAGTCATAACAAATGAAGATACAATAGCTTTCTCCTCATAGAGTTCTGTGAGTATTAAATGGCAGCATGTACTTAGCAGGATGCCTGGCATAGAATAATTTGTAACTGGTAGTGACATAGAGAACTAACGTGTATTGAGCATCTCATTGCCATTTCAGTGACAAGAAAATTGGGGCTGGGAGAGATTAATAACTTGCAGAAAAGCACACAGCTAACAAATGGAGGCAATATTCATACCAGGCACTATGGCTCCAGAGGTGAGCTCTTATCTTCTTATCTCATGAAAGTGGAAACACTGGGCCGCTGGCTTATATATCAGGCCCTTATGAGTTTGGTTGGCCAGAGAGTGTGGCCCTCAGGAAGCCTCGGCCCCTGAGAATTTGAGTGTGCTGTGTTAAGGCTCTCACCCTGCGACCACCCCTCTAAGCAGCCATTCAGCCTTTCTCTATTTTCCTGTTTCCACCAGCAATCCCCAGCACAGGGCTGAGCCCAGAGAACTCAGTCTGCATTAGCCACCGTGTCCACTTTCCTTTAGATCACTCAACTTGGAGGGGTTTCCAGAAAATCTTTCTACCAATGTCTAGAGGGAGATGGGTCCACCAAATATCCATCTGGGGGCAGATACAATCCCTTTCTAAAGCCCAGAAACAGTGAGGTTTGGTAGAAAGATCATGAAGCTTGGTGTGAGATATGGATTCAAATCCTAGCTCTGTCACCTTAGTACATCATGTAATCCTTGAGTCTCAGTTTCCTCATCTGTACATGGGGGCAAATTATTAAACCAGACTCAGAACTGGATTAAATGAAAAGATGTATGTAAACACAACTGCAGACACTTAATAAATGAGTTGTTATTATTATTATTATTATTATTATTACTTCTCCCCAGCCTGACTGTGAACTCCAGGACAGGGACAGCTCTTGTTGCTGTTTGTGTTCCTGGGGTCCTGCCTAGCAAAGGGCCCTCCACAGAGTCACTGCTTAGTGACTGTTTGCCAACTGCAGCAGTATTTCTCAGCTCCCGGTCTCTTTCCCCCATCCACTCCCTAAATAAGTCAGGGGTCAACAATTTCCGATGGGAGAGGTGGGAATCCTTCTTCCCTGTTCCTCTTGTTTCCACATGCAGGCACATGAGCTGCCAGACTCTTTCAGAGCAGGAGCAGGAGCAGGACAACCCTTTACTGCACAGGTGCATGGCAGGTTGTTCAGCACCCCCAGTCTCTGCCCAGTGCATGCCAGAAGGAGCTCCCAGTCAGTGTGACAAAACTGCCTTGAAACCTCCCCCAAAGTCCCCTAGGGGGCAGAACTGCCCCAAGTGAAATCTCATGAGCTAGCCTACTCCCAGTCCTTTTCCCTTCTGCAGAGGGTCCTCTGTGGTCTTCCCCACTGCTACTGCCACTAAGGTTCTGCTGCTGTGCCTGTGATAAACAGTAAATCTTCTGAAATCAAGTAAAGAATTAACAGACCCACTGCACACAGCTGAGAGCCACACCAGTAGCGAAGGGTTCATTGTGATCTCCAGTTGCATGGCTTCTGTATCCGTCTCTCAGGTTGTCTTAAACTCACATGGGGACGAGCATTAGGACTTTTGGGTATCCTAAAACACACCTTAGCGGGCATGGGCACTCTCTCACCTCCCCTTCCTCCCAGCAACCAAAGCAGTCCCACTCACCTCCCACTGACCACCGTCCCTCCCAAAGGTAGGGATTGTCACGGCTCAAGGATTCATATTGTCATTTTTCTTATTTACAAAATCAATAAACACAGGCATGATTCAGAGAGGTGGGGAGCCCTCAGCACCTCTCCCTACCCTGGGCTTGGATCCCAGTCACAGACTATAGTGTCCACCCAGCAGGAAAGGGATCCAGCAAAGACCTTCTCTGTCTCTGTAACTTACAGACACAGAGAATTGAGTAGGAGGTGAATTCCGGGGGCCTGACAGAATGGGATGGGATGACGGGATAGGTGATAAGAGAGGGAAAGGATACACAATTTTATAAATAACTAGACAGGTCTGAGCCTTTCTTTTTTGGAGGGAATGGGCAGGAAGGCTAGGGGCAAACAGGGGCCTAAGTAGAAGGAGAAGAAATAGTGCCTGGCACCAGAGTGAATAAGGGATGATCTCTGAGCCTCTATTTGCCCCCACCTTTAAAATGAGTGCACTGCTGTAGATGGTGTCAGAGCAACCTGCTTGCTCTGACATGTTAGGACTCTTCAGGGTTCTAAGCCTGAGAGCTCTGGGACCAGAGCCCTGGGGATTGCAAGAGAGGTGGCTGATGCCCAGACAGGCTATGTCTGATCCCCAGGCTGGTACTGGGGTTCTGTGGAGGTAAAGTAGTCCTCTAGGAAGGACTGCAGGTACTCGAAGGTAGGCCTTTCCTCTGGGTCCAGACGCCAGGTCTGCTCCATAGCCTCGTACAGGGATGCTGGACAGCCTAGGGGGCACGGCATGTGGTAGCCATGCTCCACCTGTTCCAACACTTCCCGGTTATTCATGCCTGGAGGGTGGGACTTCATCAGTCAGGGGGCTTAGTGCCTCCCAAAGAGGCATCCAGGAGGAAGCCCTTCCCCTTGATGACGTTTCCACCTCCCCTATCCCTTAACAAACCTGGGTAGGGGACTCGGCCCTTGCTGATGAGTTCAGTGAGCAGGATCCCAAAGGACCACACATCTGACTTGATGGTGAATCTGCCAAAGAGGGCAGCCTCTGGGGCTGTCCACTTGATGGGAAATTTGGTCCCTGGAGGGTTTGGGGGAGAAAGGGCAGTTAGTGGGGGTTCCCTGGGAATAACTGGATTAAGAGAATGGCATCTTTAGGATTGGGGGCCCTGAGCGCAGAGATCTCTGGGCAAAACAGAGAGGACCTGGTATCTAGCCAGCACTTTCTATGTGTCTAGGATAGTACTAAGTGCATTACAAATGGTGTAATAATTCCCAAAACAATAACAGCTAGCATCTGTTAGCTGTATCGTCTTTACTACATGCTAGAAGTTGTATTAAGTGATTTACATGTATTAACTTACTTAACCCTCACAAGAACCCCATGAGGGAGATTCTATTATTATCTCCATTGCACAGATGAGAAAAAGGAGGCACCAAGTAGTTAATAACTTGCCCGGATCACAGTTTTGTAAATGGCTAGGACACACATCCAGGCATTCTGGCAGCAGAATTCATGCTATTACTCTATTGTCTTTCACCTGTTAATTATAGCAGTGCCTGGTACATAGTAGGTGCTTGATAAATAGCTGTTGGCTTACTACTGTATGGATATTTTCATTGTACAGATAAGAAAAGACCGCTCACAGAGGTTAGGTGAATTGCCCAAAGCTTCAGGGCTGGTAAGTGAAGGAGCTGGAACTTGAACCCAGAGTGGCCTCTTACACTACTACATCAGGATTAGGAGAGTCCTGCATGGTGAGGGTGTGGGGCGAAGGGTTTCTGAGTATAGGGTCCCATGGCAGCCCCTTGCCCACTGGAGAGCTCTTCGAAGGTGGGATGAGGCAGGGCACCTTGCTGGGGGTTGTACTCATCATCCTTGATGAGACGCGCCAGCCCGAAGTCAGCAATCTTGCATACCAGCCGCTCTCCCACTAGGATGTTGGCTGCCCTTAGGTCCCGATGGATGTAGTTCATGCGCTCCATGTAAGCCATGCCTTCAGCTACCTGGAAGCCAAGATATGGAGAGACGGGAATACTATGGTTTGTCTGAAGGGTCATTTGAAACACCCACTTTCCAGATGGGCAGACTGAGGTTCAGAGCCAGGCAATGCCCTGCCTCAGGTTGTACAGACGATCCAGTGGGTGAACTGCACTCACAGGGGTAGGGGTAGGCTAGGTGTCTGAGGGCACAAGGATTAGTGGAAGGTTAACAGGAGGGGGATCTGAGAGATAAGGGCTACTGTTCCAGTTTACCTGGGCTGCCATGTCCACCAGCTGGGGCAGCGACAAATTCTGGCCCTCCCGATTTTTAAGGAACTCCAGCAAGCTACCTGTCGAGGGGAACTCAGAAATATTAGCAGCAAGACCCTACCCTCGCCTCCAGGCCAGCCGTTCCTCGCTTGACCCCGCTCCTATCCAGAACTCCTCTCAGCTTGGCCCCGCCCCCTGCTCTCAGCACTGTCATCTAGATCCGCCCTACTCAGGATCCCGCCAGGAGCCTCAGTCCCGTAGGCACCTCACCAGGTCCGCTTCCACAGAGACCCTGACTGCCACATCTCGTTTCTTCTTCTCTTTCTCCGTCCCCTTAGACACGTCCCACTCAGACTTCTTCAGTACAGATCCCGCCTTCACTTGCCCAAGCCCCACCCCGCGTACTAGTCTCCGCCCCCACGCCCAGACCACCGCCCCACACCACCCCCGGTCTAGCTTGGTTCCGCCCCCACGCCCAATACTCACGTGGTTTCATTCACTCCCGCCGCTTGCTCAGACTCTGCGGGTCGTCCACTGTCCCATCACAGATCGCCACCCACGTCCCTCGTCCAGAGACACCCACCTTAACTTCGCCCTAAATCCCGCTCTCCCAGACTCCGCCTCCTGCCGCCGCCCCTCACCGTGGCACATGAACTCCGTCACGATGTAGATGGGCTCCTCTGACACCACAGCATACAGCTGCACCAGCTTGTCGTGCCGCAACAGCTTCATGATCTGCGCCTCCGCCAGAAAGGCCTTCGGCGACATGGTGCCCGGCTTCAGCGTCTTCACTGCCACCTTCGTGCTGCCGTTCCACAGGCCTGCCGAGCGGCCGCATCTCATCAGGACCGGCTCCCCACCGCCCAAGCCCTGGGCCTGGCCCCCGCCCTCGGGACCTCCGTACCCAGCCACACATCCCCGAAACAGCCTGTGCCCAGCCGGCGCTCGAGCGCGATGGAGCTGCGGCTGATCTCCCAGGCGTCCTTGGCCAGGCCCAGAGTCTGCGGCTTCATGGTGGTGCAGGCTGCTGTGAGCAGGTGGCACAGCCCATCGTTCACCTCTGGGAAAGGGAATGGAGAATTGTAGGTCACAGGCAGGCCAGGACGCCCCAAACATTCCTCATCCCAACCCAGCTGCCAAGGTCAGTTATAAGTGACTAGGCCACAGGTGAGGTCACAGGTCAGGGCAGAAGGCAACCCCGCCCACTGAGTAGCTGACCGTGATGGTGCCCTGGGAAGAAGGTGTCGCCAAGAGGGAGAGATGATCCCACGAGGACTGGGGACCTTCCCATAAGAGGTGGCCTTCAGTTGGGCCTCCAAGGATAAGATGGGATTCTCAAAGACGGGAATAGAGTTAGGGATTCCAGACAAAGATGTGGACATGAGCCTCTACTCTTCCATGGACCTCATCCCTTGGCTAACCAACCAAAGCAGAAACCTGGGCATTGCTTCCCACCTTCCCCTAAACCCCACAGTCCATCTTCCAAGTCAGGTATTTTCAGTCTCCAAGACACCTTAGTCATTAGGGGGTGCCATTTGGCCATGGACAGCCTTACACCTGTTTCCTCTGGAGTCCTACAGAGCAGGATCCTGGACTGGGAGCCAGATACTTGAGTTCTAGTTTTGGTCCAGCCACTACTGCTCTGGGAGACACTTCCCTTCTCTGGGCCTCCGTCTCAATGGGTTGGTTCAAGAATCTGAAGCACATGGAAGCTCCCGAGGGCCAGCCCTCACCAATGTAGTGCTGTACCAGCTCCTGCACCGAGTTGAACTGTGCCCGCGTGGTGATGTAGTAGCCACCTGTGTCCAGCTTGCGGATCTTGTAATGCTTCACATGATCACCTCTGGTCTGGTCCCAATCCCGGATGGACAGGGAGTAGGCACCTGTGTGCAAGTGTCACTTTCAGGCCTGCTTTCTTCACCCCCAGTCTGGGAGCCCAGATAGACCCAAAAGGCTGGGACTCTGGAGCTGGGTGGCCACATCCCTTGAACCCAGTCCCAGTCTTAATACTACCCCTTCAACCCTGTCCCAGCCTTGGCCCTGACCCAACCCCTCACTGCAGCTCCTAGCCCCATAATGGCTGGGCTTCCCAGTTGCCCCTACCTTTGGTGGTCTCACTCTCTCGAATGAGAAAGGCCCCCCGGGGGTTGCCCTGTGACAGCAACTGCCTCTCTGAATCCTTCCTCCCGATCTTTCCAAAGTACCACCTGTTGGGAAGGCCAGCAACAGTCATGTTCAACCCGTTCAACCCCCAACTCAGCCTCCTGGGAAAAGTCCCCTCACTTTTAGCCTAGATTTAATTTCCTCACCCGTGAAATCGGGCTCATACACCCGCTTTGCAGCCTGATAGTGAAGTTCCCAGTGAAGGGAAACGTAGAATGCTTAGCACACAATAGGTGCCCAATAAAGTTTAGGCTTCTTCTCTCTATCTGGATCTCTCTTGAATTAAAATAGCCAGAATCCCGGTCACCAGCGACCTCATTAGGGTGCCTGCCCCCTGTCCATTGGTCCATCTCACTAATGCCCCTCCTTGGGCTCATTTTACAGTTGAGGAACTTGCAGCTCAGAAAGTGTAAGTGACCTGCCCACAAAGCTGGCTGATGAGCTCTACCTGAAATTCTTTGCCGTCCACCTTTGCTTTCCCACCACCCGAGCCACTCAGATCCCTGTCCCCATACCCCACTCCAAACCCTTTCCTACTCTGGCTTCCAGAATGACACCCTTTCCTGTTTCTCTTGCCTCTTTCTGACTGCTCCTGCCCTGCTCTGACTGCCCCTTTTCCTCCACTCTCTTAAATGTGGATGTTGTCCTAAGTCTCAACTTCAACCTCAGGCCTCAAGCATTCCTGCTCTCTTTTGGATATTCTTCCTGGGACTGAACTGTAGCTTTAAACAAACTGAGAAAGTGTGCCAGAGGAGTTGAAGTGACCACAGGTGTCCTAGAAGACTCAGATGTCATTTGATCACTAAATTGGCCTGTGACCATTTTAGGCTGAATTAAAAGAAGCATAGTCTTCTGATGAAGGGAGATGACAGTCTCCCTTGTAAGTAAACTCTAGGATTGTCAATCTCTACCTGGGTACTAGGCACAGTTTGGGGAACAAGGGATGGCAATGGCAAGTGGAGTACCCAGGAGGGCAGGCAGGATGGCAAGGAGGAACTATTAAAAGCTGTGTAGACAGGACACATTCCCAAGTTTTTTCAAACCCCACCCACACCCATGACAGTAGCAATTCCTTAATAATTAATATAATAATAATAGCATCCATTTTGTGTTAGGCTCTGCCTCAATACATATACATATTCCTTTGATTCTTATACCAATGCTGTGAGGTTAAGGTCTTTTATTAACCCCACTAGGCAGATAAGGAAGTTGAGCTAACTAGTAGTTAAGCAACTTGCCCAAGGCCACATGGCTTTTACACTATGCTGCCAGAATAGGAACCCAAGCTGCCTCCTCCACGGCCTGCACACTTAATCACAGCACTGCTCTTAACTACAGTATTGCACTGAGTGCCTCTCAGAGTTTCCAGACACTGGCCCCAAGATGTGGTCACAAGCAGGAACCCCCAAACCACCCACCTTCTGCATGATCACCCCTGCACTCTGCCCCAGAGGAAGGCCTGGACCCCATCCACTCCCTTCTGCTTAGAGACACATCACCCCAACCAACGCAGCCCATCTGCAGCCTCTTCATCCCACCAACCTCCACATATGCCCACTTTTCTTCCTTCCTCAGGGAAACTGCTCTAAGCCTATCTTGCCACCTTCCCTCCATTTCCTCACCTCCTACTACCTCCCAGGCTCTGCTGTCTGGCCTGCACCCCCACTTCACACAGAGAGATCTTCCACCAAGGTCACCCCCACTGCCAAATCCAGTGGCAGCCTCTGACACTCTTTTTTGTTTCCTGCAACCTCTACTCCACCCTCTTGGCTGTTCTGACTTGGCCTGGCCTAGTTTTCCACTGGCTAGTTCACCTCCAAGGGCAGATTTCTCCAAAGCTGGATCCTAGGGCAAATCTCTTTCTTCCTCCTTCTCTTCCTCAGCCTCCTATGCAGCTCTCATTGTCATCCCCACTCTGAAAAGCCCCAAATCACCACCCCAGCCCAGGTATGCCCTCTGAAAGAGCCACAGCAAACAAAGAGACTTAGTGCCAATTAGGGAAAGTATTAGCCAATTAACCCTTCCTCTGGGCTAATTCAGGTGCATGGCTTGGCCCAGGCAGGACCCTCTCTTGCAAAGCAAAGCACCATCTAACCTGATTGCAGGCAGTCTCCTCCACCTGGGTGTTCCTCTCCACAAACTTCAACTGCCAAGTCCCCCTGAGAACCCGTTACTTGTACCTGCTCCCATGTTCCCCACTTTAGCAAATGGCACCACCACCAGTCAGTTCCTTGAACAGACTTTGGTCACCCTTCATTCCTCCTCTACTAGCCCAGTGGCAAGTCAGTTACCAAGTCCTGGTGACTCCCATTCTGCAGTGCCTTCAATCTTTTTTGTGGGGGTAGTTGTGTGAGAATATATACAAAAGTGTGCCTCAGTTTCCTTATCTTTAAAAGGGGACAATAATAATATCAATAGTGCTATTGTGAGAATTAAATGAATCAAAGTAGGTAAAGTGTCTGCTGTTGTTACCTAAAGGTCCTCCATGAATGATGATTCCCTGCCCCCTTAATAGATTTAATTCTAAGTAATGCCCTCTTGCAATTATTTATAATTTTTAAAGTTCATACACTAAGCTTATGCAAATAAGCTGAGAGGCAATATGTATACCGCTTAGCAAATGCAGCCAGACTATCTGGGTTCAAATACCTGCTCCATCAACTTACTAGCCATGTGAACTTGGACAGGATTTTTAATTTCTCTGTGCCTCAGTTTCCTCATTTGTAAAACAGGATAGCAATCCCTAACTCCATTAATACACGGAAAGCATTTTGAATAATGTCCAGAACATAGTATGTGCTAGATAAAGATAATGGTAAAGATTATCTACTATCCTTATCATCATTATTATCTTCTTTTATTCCACAACGAATTTACAGAAGGGGACAGGCTCAGAGTAGAGCTGTGACTTGCCCAAGAGGCCGCCTTGATTCAGAACTCCAGGGTCCTGATCCCTAGCCCTTCCCAACCAGGTCCTCCCCCAACTCTTACTCACTCTTCAGCCTGGATGGAGTCCACAGGGGCCACATAGTTGCTGGGAATGTAGCCAGTTTGTCCAGAGCTGAGGGACCGAGCCTCCCACCAGTCACCCTCACTGTAGGCACAGAACATGGGGTATTAGTTGCAACCCAATCCCTGGGTACCCTGGGGCCAGGAAGGGCCACAGAAAGGATCAGGTGGAGACTCATCCTGTCAACCCTGCACCTTGGACAAGCCCCACCCACACCCAACCAGGGCTTTTGTCTGTTCTGCCCCCAGCCACTGCAGCTGCCCCAGAAGAATTTTCCCTGCAGAAGGAATATTTTTGGGGAATCTGAGCCTCCTGACTTTCTCCTCTGGCTTCTCAGATGAGCTGGGGTTCAAGTAGGCAATGCACAGTTAACTAGGTCACTTCCCCACTGAACATCCCCACCCAAACCCCACTATGGCTACATATTTCCTTCTGGATAAAATTCAGACTTAAAATTCAGGCTTAAAGAGCCCTGAAGAATCTGCCTCACCTACCTCTCTAGCTTCTGCTCTCTCCATTCTGCACCTTATACTCTATGATCCATCTATCTAGTCTGAACCACTTGGTGGTTTCCAGAAGTCATCATTCTTATTCTCTCACTCTGTCTTCCTCTTTTCTCACCTCTTCCTTCAACATCTATTCATTTTTCTAGTCACAGTGTAGAAATCACCTCCTCCAAGACGCCTACCCTGATAACCACTACCACTACCCTGGAGACTGTGTTTGGTGTTTTATCTGTGTCTGTAATTCTTAATGCTCCGTTGACATAGTAGCAATTACTCAGGGTTGTTATTGTTATGTATCTGGGTCCCCAACTAGGCTGGGGCTTCCTGAGGTCAGAGACCAGGTAGGATTCCTCTCTGGATCCTGTTCCCAGTCCAGGCCAGGTCCTGAGCTGGGTGGCCTGGTCACTTACGTGTTGTTCAGGATGTGGAACTTTTCGCCCTTGGTGAAGGTGAGGTCATCCTCTGTCCGGGCCTCATAGTCATACAGGGCGACGAACAGGGTCACACCAGTCCCTGCAGAGCCAGGGCGACTCAGCAGAGTACAGACTCAGCAGGAGACAGAAGCACCAAGGGGTCTGTACCCGTGGAGTCCTGCTCCTCAGCCAGGTCTTGTGCCTCCCCACTGCTACAGAGCCCTGGTTCTCAGAGGCCTTTGGAGTCCAGTGGATTTCTAATTTGGGCTTTGTAGCTCAGCACCCCATGGATTCAGGAAACACACCTTCACGCTCATCCCTCTCATCCTGGGGAGTCCCCAGGTCACCCGCTCCTCCTCTTCCCCACCAAGAAGGCTTCCCACTTGCATCTGTCATCCAGGTCCTGTTCTCAGACTGGGAATAGAGCTGTCTCCCCCTCAGACCAGGGTTTCTGAGGGTACGGTGGTACACACTCCCTCAGACTGTGCAGAAAACAGTCTCTGTCATACCCGAGGCTCCTAAAAAAAGCCCATATCTCTCCTCCCTTCAAGTTCTCCCAGGGTCCAGGCAATGCCTGCCTCGAGCCCCTAGACTCACCTGAGATGCCCCTGATGGTGCCCCCATCAAGGAAGGCAGGGCCAACAGACTGAGGGGAGAAGTTGTTGTAGTTGGGGATATGTGCAAAGGAGGACGCAGGCCGGGCCAGAGTAGGGTCAGGGCCATAGCGGTCCGAAGCCCCGTAGCCTCTGAAGTCCCCTTCCAGGCCAACATCTTCCTTGGGTGCCGGCTCCGACTTCTTACAGAACACACAGCCCATTCCAGGTGCCCTGCTACAGAATAGGGAGCATGCCTCACTTGGGGGTCCCTGTCAGATATGCCACCCAATTCACACACAGGTGCACAGGCACATGCACACACACTCCCTCAGGCATGCAGCTTCCCCTCTCAGGCCTGAAATGGGAGGTCCTTCCTAGTGAGGGATAAAGGAGAGGCAGGGCCGCCACTGGGTCTACCTCCCAGCTGCCTTAGTATGTTTGAAGAGAATATGTGTATCCTCAATGGGGCTGCTTTTCTGTTTCGGGATGTTGCTGACTTTATGTATTTTCGGCTCCTATTGCTTCACTATGGTATGCCTCTGTGACTCATTGGGAGTGCTTATGTGTGTATGCCCTTTGTGTATCTAAGTGTCCGAGAGTTTATTTGTGTGTGTGTGTGTGTGTGTGTGCACAGCCCTTTGTGAATGTGCGTGTCTAGGACTGTGTGTCCATGTCTTTATGTATGTGATGGTTCTTGTGTGTTCATGTATATGAGTGTGTATGTATATACATGTTTCTGTGCGAGTGTGTATGTATGTGCCTTTGTGTGTTTCTCTGTGTGAGTAGGTGCCTCTGTGTCTGTCCGTCATGACTATGTGTGTAGCCCTGTGCGGGAGCACATGTGCCTGTATGTGTGTGTCTGTGTGCACAGTTCTGTGAGTACATGTGAATGTCTCTGTGTGTGTTTCTCTCTGTGCATATATGTGTCGACATATCGAGAGGTTTGTGTGAGGGCTGTGTGGCGGCACCTGGAGATTCCCTGCAGAGAGGGATCAAGGCCATTTCCTGTCATGGGTCCAGCTTCTGGCCTCTCAAGCTGCCTCATTCTGGCTCCCCCATCTGTTACCTAGCAACAGGCCCTGGTAGGAGGAGGGGGCTATGAGGAGTTGTGGGACTCAGGAAGGCACTCCCACCCCATTTCATGACCCTGAAAGCCTCAATCTCTGCTCCCCCCCAACTCACCCCTCAGGCCGCTACTCTTGGGTCAGTGGAGCTGCCGCATGGTCCTTGGGAGGGGCCGGAGACCTGAGGGCAAAGCAGAGGACAGGGAAGATGAAGGCTCTGCCATCTTTCCTGCAAGCCAGCTGCCAACTCCTGCCCTCTTCAGGAAGCCAGGCCTGGGCTCTGCCCCAGCATGACTTCTGCCTTCATTTTCCTTCCCACCCCCCCAGCACACTGACATATCCAGCCTCACAGGACACACCACCCACACCAACTCTCTCACACTCATATCCACCAAATCCACCAACATATACAGTAACACCCCTGCCCCCAGCATACAACCACATACCAACACACAGCGTACACTTGCATGGTGTGCTCACCAACACCACCACACACTAACTCAAACTCACTCTTGCAGAGTCCAGGCTCTGAAGCACAGTGCGCGCACACACACACACACACACACACACACACCACCTCTCAGACTAACAGACTTGGATACTTGGACACTTATATTTTTGTATTAAACCCATTTCTCTAACTGAATTTCTCTCAAACCATGCTCAGCTCACTGGCAGCCCCCAGCACCATCTCCTAAAAATGAAACGAGCCCTTCCTCTGGACACCTCCTCTGCTCCCACAGTGGGCTGGGTAAGCTCCAGCAGGCCCAGGGTTACATCTGGGGGCACAGTGAAGGTGAACACCTACCTTCAGAGCTCGCTCCTATCTCCGCATCAGGGAAAAGGCTCAGGTCAGAAGCCAGAGCCACGAGGGTCTTTTGGGGATGCCCCCAAATGACCCAAGCCTTTGCTGGTAGCTGTGGCCTCTGAGCGACCAAGCAGACAGGTCATTGAGCAAGGGCTCCCCACGCCCTGCCAGAAACTCTGTCATTGCAACACTCAGAGAGGAACTGCTAGGGAGAGGACTCAGTTTCCTAAGATGTGAGAGGAGTGGAGAGTCGTAGGGTGGGGCTGGCCCAGTGGACACTGGTTTCCCCCCAAGGGAACTGAGAACTCTTGGGACAGGTGCCCCACCTTGCCTTTTTCCATCCCCAAGTCCAGTTCCATGATGGATATCCTCCTCCCCTTCTCTGGGTCCTGCCCCTGCTACCCAGCACTGCTTACCTCTTACAGGAAGCCTCAGGACATCCACCAGGTCCAGATGCCTAGCTGATCAGCTCCCTGCCCCCGACTCTAGACCTACCAGCCCCTCTCATCCTTCACTGTAACGGTTCTCCCATGTGTGTATGAACATTGTGGGGGCAACACCCACGTGATGAACTGTGAAACAGGCTGTGGTGATGGCCCTAAAATAGTCCCTTTTCACCAAGCCCTTGCGGACATCTTCACCTCAGGACCCTTCCCCTGGGGTGAAACCACTGTGTCTGAAAGGCTTCAGGAGGCTGCAGGGTGGTTAGGGTCAGGGTGAGAATAGAGGTGGAGGTGGGGGGCACTCAAGGCCCAGGGAAGAGATGTGGGGCCCTGGGGGGACAGATGGGGGTCAGATGTAAACAGGGCTACAGGGTGAGAATGGAGGTCTTCTCACAGGAAGATACAGGCACATCATCTCAAACGGCACATAGGGTGGGCACCCAGATCTACACAGTCCTCCTGATACAGCCAGAGCCACACACATGATCTCAGCTACACATGGTGCCTCACACAGAGATTTTGAACTCCTCAGTACAGATTTACAGACACATCTGTCTTCAAGGATACCCATACCTCCACATACATACACCTCTGCCCTCAGCCATACACACAGCCTCTCCACAAGAGTAACATGTACAGAAACTATAACACTTACTATATGACTATGTCCCCATTAAACACTACACATATATTACCTCATTTTATTCTCATAACCCTATAAAAAACTCATTTATTCTCATAACAATGCCTATTATTGATAAGGCAGCTGAGGCACAGAGAGGTTTAGGAACTTGCCCGAGGTCACACAGATGATGTATCCTAGAGTTTGGCTCCAGAATCTGAGCCACTTCTCTCCATTGCCTGGTCACAGATGAGGATAATTACAGCCATTCCTGCAAGCATGTACAGATGCGCAGAGCTCCCATAAGGACATACAGAGATATACATAGCCCTCCCCCAAGTCGCCCACACAGAGCTCCTTTCTTTAAGAGACACAAACTTATACAACCTCTTGGGTCCCCAAATAGTACAATGTTGCTACTTCCAGCAATACCCAGGTATGTGTTACCACAACATTTACAAGGCAGCCAAAGGGGAGCCCCGAATTCTGCAGGCCTGGAATGGGGTAGGAGATTAGAAACTGTCAGCCTCTGATAAGGAGGGGAAGGGCTCTGCTGCCTAAGGAAGAGCCCTGTCAGGGCTGCCAGCATGGGGAACAGACAGCTGAGGGGCCAGATCTCGGGGCTTTGCACTCCCAGGCCTAATGATGGGGACCAAAGCCCCAGGCTAGGCATGCCTCTCTGGGCTCCAGTATGTTGAGGGGTTGGGTGATGTGGGGTGAGGGGGTGGGCACAGGGTCTGGCATCTGCATGACCCAAGGCAGTGAGAGGCACTGAATGTGACCATGCTAGTGTGGCTTTGTCAGAAAAAGATGGGGAGAGACAGAAAATGAAAAGGCAGAGCCAGAGAGGAAGACAGAGATACAGAGAGACAAAGACAGACTGAGAAAGCCAGGGAGACAAAAGGAAGATATAAACACAGGGAGAAACATCGTGTGGTGTGCTAGTATACGGACTCTCAAAAGAAGAAAGAAAAGGCCCTGGTTTGTAGCATTTGCTGATTTCCATGGTGTAAATATTCCCATCATGGCTGATTTCAAGTTACCCAAGTGACTTCCTGAACGCTGGGCTGGGAAGAGATTCACAGAACAGCTCCCCAGAGCCAGTATTAGCTGGCTTCAGCACATCACTGCCAGAAAGAAACAAACAGAAAGAGACAAACAGAGACAGAAATGAGAAGTAGAGAGACAGAGCAACTGAGAGACTGGGAGAGAGAGAGAGACAGAGCAAGAGGACAGGCAGAGATGAAGAGAAAGAGCTGAAGACAGAGAACTAGATTGACGAGGAAAAAGGAGAGAGGGAGCAGGGTGGGGTCCTCTCTGCTCAGGTGTCTGCATGAAAAGAGCCCTCAGGACTCTTCTCCCAACTCTGATCCCAAATAGTGTCTCTGGAGAGTAATTTGACTTCCTAGAAGTCTGGGCGTCAATAACTATTAGTTTAAAAATGCTCATTTATTAAACACATACTCAGTGCCTGGCATTGTACCAAGCAATTGCCATGCATGACCTCATTTATTAACCCTATGAGGTAGCTTTTCTTACCTCTATTTCAGGTAAGGAAACTCACAGAGAGTAATTTTCCCCCAAATCACACAGTACATCATGGGAAGCTAAAATGCAACCCCAATAAATTTAGCTCCAAAGCCCACCATTGGCACTGCTATATTTTTCAGTCCTGGTGGAAACAATAATGTGTGTTCCTTAATGAGCACCTACATTGTGCCAGGCCCTGTGCTATATGCTCTAAATCCTCATTATAGCACAGAGAGGGGAAGCAACCTTCCCAGGGTCTCTCAGGCAACCACTGATTTTCATGGACCTAGAATCTGAATCCTGGTCTTCCTTTTCTCAGGGCTGAACTAGGCTGCCTGATAACACAAGAAAGGGAGCAACTCAAGAGTAGAAATAAGCATTCTGGGTACTGCAGGGACTCTGGTCTGTTTACAAAAGGCCTCTTAAACGTAGTTCACAGGAGTCTGTTTCCAGAGCCTCATCTGGGTCAGGATCGGGTTGTGAGTTTCAGAGCTGAGGTCCAGCCCTGGACCATGGGGCACCTGCCTTCAATATTGCCCTCTTTGTGGCCCTACCCAGCTTTCTTCTTTATACTGCAGTGTTAGCTCTGGGGCCTTGAATAAATGACATAAGCCCTCGAAGCCTCAGTCTTTCCATCTGTACCTTCTGTGCAATTGTTGAGAACACTTGACAAGATGGGGCTCTTGCTCAGTGTGCAATGGCCCAGTGAGGTTGAGAACAGGCAGCGAAACTAGAATGGCCCCCAGGGACCATTTATCAACCCCCTACTGAGTATGAAGGGGAGAAGTGACTTACCCTAGGTCAAACAGCCAGAGAGGGGATTCAAAGCCAGGACCATTAATTGAGGTCCAGAGTTCAGTTCCTAGCACCTTAGCTATGTTCTCCAAAGCCTGAGGAGGTCATGTTGTCCCTATCTGGTGAACATCCTATTTCTGACCCAGCCCCTGGCCAAATGAACACACCACCCCTGCCATATGGCAGCTGACCACTCAGCAGGCACCCTTCCCCTGTACATAGGAGTTCTAGGTCCACCTATCCTTTCTTGAGGTCCACACTTCCCACAGCCATGTCACAGCTTTGGTGTAGACACAGGATGTCCTGCTGCCCCCAGTCCCTGCCAAGTATCTGTGGGATCTGGGGACAGACTCTGGTTCAAATTATACCTGGCGTGACAACTAGCTTGAGACTTTGGGTAGGTAGCTCAGTTTATGTCTCTGAGCTGTAGTTTCCTTGCCTAGAAAATAAGAATATAAATCTCTACCTTACGGGCTTGCTTCTGAGCATCAGATGCAGTCAAGCCGTGAAAGCACCAGGCACACAGTAGGTGTCCAGTGAACTTTCACTTCTGCTCCTTTCCCTTGAGGAAGGCCCCTCCAAGGACCAGGGAGGGGAGTGGCAGCGCTGAGAAGAGAAGTTCCCAGGGTGAGGTGGGAGGGCTGAGCTAGCCCAGTGGCCCAGGGGATTTCAGAAAGAGGGAACTGGGACTCCAGGCAGTGGCAGGAAACCACCATCCTGCAAGAGTTCCGGCTGCTCCTTGGGGCTCTGGGCTGGCCACAGGCAGGGCGCAAGCCTCAGCTTGCTGCACCCCATCCCTCAGCAAGACTGACCCCCCCCCACGGAAGGCTTCTGCCCCTCACCCGCAGAGACTCCACTCCTCTCCCTGAACTCCAGCAACGTGGCGGCACCCGTCTCTTTCACTGAGGCCCCGCTTCTCAGTGAACCTCCAACCATCTTATGCCATTCTTTCTTGAGGCCTTACAACCACCACCCGTGAACACACAGGGGCTAAGACATACCCCAGTCTGATTCTACCACCCGGTAGAAATCCAGGATTCACTACACACCCGGGATTCACCCCACCCAGGTGGGGCCAGGTGTGTGGGGGAGGGGCGGGTGGCAGGGCATGGGGGAAGGGGGCCTATCTTTGACACACTAGCTTTACCCCCCACACAGGTGTCAGCTGAATTTTCTCCACTTCTTGTGGGTAAAAGTGGTTTCTCATCTGTTGCTGAAAACTCACCACCAGATTCTAAAACAGGGGTCTTCAGGGATTCAAGATTTTGGGGAGATGGTGGTCCAGGAGATCTGAAAGAATAGGAAGTGGCCACAGTGTGGCCAGACAGGAAGCCCCTTCCCTGAGGCCCACCCGGTCTGCTTTGTCCACAGAGGGGCCCGGCTCCTCCTTCCCCAGCTCTGGGGTCCCCCTACCCAGCCTCCCAAGCTCTGGCCACTTCCTTTGTCACATCAGCCCAGGTGGCTGCAGAGAACACCCAAACACCCACATATGTGCTCACAAGCTCATGCTCATTGACTCCAAGCCCAAACCATACTCACAAACACTCTCACACCCTCACTCACAGCTTCACACTCACTGGGGAGCAGCAGCCAGTCATGCAGTCCATGAACCCCATGCCTTCTTCCACCATCACCCTGTGCCCCTCTCTGGATGGCTACATGGGATTTGAGGGGGGAACTCAGGCCTCAGCTCTAGTCACTTCCTGCACTTGCACCTGGGGCCCCTCCTGCTGGCCCCATTCATCACTGACTCCCAAACCTCCATCTTCCCACTTGGTGAAGTGCCAAGAAAGCCCTGCTTTCCCACCACTGCCACAGATGGAAGGACACCACAAAACTCAGGGATCACTGGGCACGGCACCACAGGGGTTGGGGACAGCTCCCAAACCTGCTTACTTCCCCAGGGGGCCTTCAACAAATCCACACACATTTATATATTTATTAGACGTCAGTCATGTGCTGGAGGCCCTGTCAGGCTTTCTGGTCCCCGTCCATGTTTTTGAGAAGGTGAAGGCCAGGCTTCCTGGATCAGTGAGAGCTTTTACCCCCTCCAAGTCACTCTGCAACAACCGCTTTCTGCGCCTGATTCTCCTGACCAGGGATGGGGAGGAGGGAGTGGTTTGGGGTCTGAGTAGGGGCAGAGGTCATTTTCCCCCATAATTCAAATGAGGAAAACGAGGCCCGGAGAAGCTCTATAACTTGCCTAAAGTCACACAGCAATTAAGGGCCTATCTGGCCAAATCCCTGAGACTGCGTATCTCCTGCCCCAGGATTCCTGAACACGGCGTCATGGCTCTCCTCTTTGTCCGGAAGCCCACCACCTCCGGAGGACCCATGGGGGCGGGAGGGGGTGACCGGAGGGGACTGCGCAGGCAACGCACCCAACAGCAGCCCAGCGTGGGGCTCTGCCGCGCCCCCTCTTGTTGCCATGGAGACAGCCCCTCCGGGCAACCGCGGTCAAAGGCAGGATTTCCGTCGGGGCGGCCAGCAATTCCCGGATCCCGAGGGGAACGTGGATCGAGACCGCAACCGCGGGCGGGGACGGGGCACCCAGAGAGGCCCATCCCTGCTGAGGGCGGGGACTTCCCCAGGAAGCCGGGACCCACGCCTCTAGCTCCCTGAAGGAGTCCCCTTGCCATCCGGGACCCGCCCACCGGTACCGGGGCAGGAGAGTCAGGGGCGCTGCTTTCGTCGCAGCCATCGCACCCCTCCCAGCTGCAGGCTTCACCCCCGATTTCTGTGGATTCTGGATGGGGGACTTCCCGGACCCCCGGAATTGCGCCCCACACTCTGCATCCTCCAGGAATGGTTTTCCTTGATCTCCCGTTAGGGCAAACTACTCACCTAGATACTTCCAGTCCCCTCTCCTAGCTGCCCTCTTCGGGACCCCTCAGCTTCTTCAAATCCTCATTTACAAGGTACCCTCAGTTTATTCCCCAGACCCTTTTGGGGGTCGTCTTAGTTCCTCTCCCCTGGCGCAGCCTCCTTCCCAAATTCTATCAGTTGCACTCTATAGGTTCTCTCCGTTTTCCCCACCAGACCTTTTTTGGGGGTCTTTTTAGTGTGCTTTTCCCATATTCCCTCAAGCCCCCCGCCCCCAATTTGATCAGTCTCACCTCAGTTTTCCTCAGTAGGTCCTTTTCGGGGTGGAGCCCCTTTGGCCCTCAACGCCCTCAGCTCTCCCCAAGTTCAGGCTTACTCCCCCTAGCCCTCCTCCCTCCAGGGCCGCGGGGCGCCGCTGCCCCCGCAGCCCCACCTGACGGCTGCCTACCTGGTCCCGGGGAGGCCGCCTCTGACGGACCCCAGGGCGAGCCAGTCGGGGCTCCAACAGCCACGAATGCGAAGTGGGTTGGGGGAGAAAACGGGTTCTGCCCGACTCTGGCCGCCGCCCCCTCTGGGCAGAGAGGAGGAAGCCGCCTCGGACTTCTCTATTGCAGCCGCAGCGGCGACGGCGGCGGCAGGGAGTACTCGCAGTCACACCCCAACCCCGAGCCAGCTGCCCTCGGGGAGGGGCCCTCAAATCCCAGGCCTGCCCGCCCCAACTTCCTGCCTCGCCGGCGTGACCAGGGGTCGGCTTTTCCAGTCGTCTCCCTACACCCAGCTCCTCCCCCAAGACCTCAGACCCAGCACAGCCTTCCCAAAGGCCCCCTCCAAAGGGCAAGGTCCTCACCCTCAAAAGCACCTGCGCTTTTACAATCATCGGATTTGAGGTGAAGGGGGACTTTTGTCTTTCACTGAAGACCTGCTCCCCTTTTGCAGCTGGGAAAAATGAGGACCAGATGGGGCAGAGCCCCAAGTTCTCAGAGCCACTCCAGAGCCACAGTGAATCCTGTCACCATGCCTTACGTCCTTCAGGCGCTGGGCGCTGAGGACACAGGGATGCAGAACATGCGAAGCAGCAGGGGGCCCTTCTCTTAGCAAACTGCTCTTCAGAAGAATCAGCCTTCAAGCTGCACTGAGGGAGAAGGGTGTCAGCCTCCTACACAGCCCCAAGTTTTAGAAAAACAGGGTCATCCTCTAGCACAACTCCAGCCTTTCCAGCCAGTGGGCATCCCTGACCAACCAACCCCTCAACCTGGGGTTCAGTCCTCCTCCCACCACTGTTATTTCTCCAGCCTTAAACCAAGGACCAGGAAAATCAGAAGAGATGTGTGTGGCAGGGCTGTTTGGTGGAGAAGTATGTATATTGGAATATGGTGTGGAGACCATGTAAGCACAGACATGCGTGTGTGTTTGTGTGTGTGTGTGATTGTACACAATGAATATGATGACTGCAATTTTGGGAGTCAACAACTGGGACACATTATGCAGGCACATGTGTTTCTGTGTATGAGCAGGGCTGTGGGTGAATGCCTGTGTGTGTGTGTGTGTGTGTGTGTGTGTGTGTGTGTGTGTGTGTGTACACACATGCAGCTCAGGCTCAGGTTAGTCCCGCTGTGATTGGGGAATGGCAGAGAAAGATGGGATGTGGGTAAGAACGCTTTTCTGTTAGGAAAATGGGAGGAGGGATGGAGAGGAAGCTACAGGGGAAGAATGGAGGGGCAGGGACTTGGGAGGGGTGGTCTCACCCTGGCTGGGCAGTACCACATTCACCATGGAGCACTCCCTGACTGCCTGTTGGCCCCCAGCTTCAACTAACAAACTAACAAACATTCATCATTGCCTGTCAGGTGCCAGGCTTAGGGAACACAGAGATGAAAGAGATTGGCCCCTGCCTCTGGGGGATCTCTCAATCCATCAGGCTCTCTCTGCCATCCTTCAAGGTCTGGCTCCTCAGACCTTAGGCCTTCCCTGATTGCTGCCCCTGCCACAGCAGGGCACTCAGCACCTCTGCCTGGTGACCACTGGTTCCTGGGACGTGGGGGTGTGGAATGCGATTTTCTCAAGGGCGAGGACTAGGTCTGACTCTCACAGATGCCCCTGGGGCCCAGGAAGTGTCTGGCACTGAATAGCATGTTCTCTGGGCATAGGAATGCGATAATCAATCAAGGAACAAAGGCATTAACAGGTGAACAAAGGAAAGCCCAATAACTAAATAACTGAAGGTAAGAATTAAAGAATGAATGAAGAAATTCAAGAATCAAGGACTGAATAAGCAAATGGGAGGAATAACAAAACTGTTTCTGCTTTTAAAATCCAAATGGGACCACATAGCTTCCTTGCTTAAAACTCTCTAATGGCTTACTTCCTATTTTGTTTGGAATAATAAAAATAAACTAAACTAAACTAATAATAAGGAATAATAAAATCCAAACACCTTTTCATAGTCTCTCAGGCCTCCTATGCCTGGCCCTCCACCCACTTATTCAACCCATTTGGGCCTTCTTCCTCTTCAGCCACGTTGGAATCCTTTTCAGTTCCTAGAATACACTCTGGTGTGTCTTCTTCTTTTTTTTTAAATTTTATTTTGGTATCATTAATCTACAATTACATGAGGAACATTATGTTTACTAGACTCCCCCCATCAACAAGTTCCCCCCACATACCCCATTACAGTCACTGTCCATCAGTGTAGTAAGATGTTGTAGAATCACTACTTGTCTTTTCTGTGTTGTACAGCCCTCCCTGTGCCTCCCAATTATACATGCTAATCGTAATGCCCCCTTTCTACCCCCCCTTATCCCTCCCTCCCCACCCATCTTCCCCAGTCCCTTTCCCTTTGGTAACTGTTAGTCCATTCTTGGGTTCTGTGAGTCTTCTGCTGTTTTGCTCCTTCAGTTTTTTCTTTGTTCTTATACTCCACAGATGAGTGAAATCATTTGATACTTGTCTTTCT